GGTGGGTGGGTATGCTTTTGAGAGAGGAGCAGAGAGAGAGAGTGTGTGTGTGTGTGCGTGGTAGTGCGCATGCGTGTGCGTTTGCGTGTACGTGTGGGTGAGTGCGCGCCACCCAAGAGACAGATAGCTGCTGGGTGATGTTACATTATTGCAATAAGCCGAACATTCCTGTGGACTGTATTCGTACACTGACAGCAGCTGGTGGCTCGATCCTGTGCTGGGTCTTGTGTTGAACACCACCTCCTGTGGCGCGATGCCTTGTTGGCTGTTGCACTTGGTGTGTAGTTTGTGGTTCTGTGCTGTCGAAGGGTGCCTTGTGGCGTGTGACTGGTTTGCATTGGGGCGGCTCGAGCCTCGCCAGAGCTGGGTGATGCAAAAAAGATAGGGCAAAATCCGAACCACACGTGTGGTAAACCATCGTATAATGTATTCGTACTGTCTGACAGCTCCCAAGCCCGAGTTCGAGCCCGCGCGGCCGCGCCGCTTTTTTCTGCCTTTTCTGCCTTGACGGTGCCAGGGTGTGTGCGCGCCGCGCCTTAGGACCAGGCGCTGCCGCCCGTGCGGCAGCTGCCAACCTGCATCCTCCTCTGATCCACCTGCCCGCAGACCCAACCAACCCGCCTGCCGGCGCCTGCGCTGCCGCCCAACCTCCCCCCTTCCTTGCAGGTGGACGATCTCGACATCTTCGCCATCGGCCCCAAGTTCGAGCACAACCCTGTCTTCCCGGCGCGCACCAACACCGAATTCGTGGAGGTCCTCACGCGAAGCCACGTACGCATGGTGGTCTGGGAGCGCGGCGCGGGCCGCACGCTCGCGTGCGGCACGGGCGCGTGCGCGACCGTCGTGGCAGGTGGGCCTCGGGGGCCGGGCGGGGTCACTTTGGGGCACTTGGGTCTTGTTTTGGGGGGGGGGGGTTCTTCAAAAGTGCATAATGTGGGCCGGTGGTGAGGCGAGTATGTTCCAAGTGTGAAGGGTGGCTGTGTGTCGTCGGCCGCGGCCCCTACATTGGCCGCTTGCTCGACGCCCTGGCTGGCATGGGTTGGCTCCTCAGCCGGGGCGCGGACTAGGCTAGCCCAGCCCTTCCAGCGGCATAGCTTCTTTACACATGCACATGCACATGCGCGCGAGGGGGCGCGCGCACGCGCGCCCACACACAGGCGTGCACTCACACAATTGTGCACTCACACAAGCGCAAGCACACATACATTCTCTCCCCTGTACCCCCTCTCCGTAGCTCGCTCGCTCGTTCACTCACACATTACCTCGTATATACTCAGGCCCCTGACCCACACCGTCAACCCAACTCACCGCCCCACCGCTAAATGCCCGATCAACCAAACGCCCCAACCCCCCAGGCGTCCTGGAGGGCAAGGTGGACCGCCAGTGCCGCGTAGACCTGCCCGGCGGCCCCCTGCACATCGAGTGGCGCGAGTCCGACAACCACATCTACATGACCGGCCCCGCCGAGCTCGCGTTCAGCGGCAGCGTGCCCGTTTGACCGCGTTTGACCGACTTTTTCACCCCTTGAGCGAGCGAGCCGGGGCCTGGGGTTTTGTGATTGTGTGAGTGGACCCTTGTGTGGTGCTGAGCTGTCATCATTTGGTGTGATCTGAGAGGTTCGCAACCGTCTGATTCGTCGTTTGTTCCTCGATTTCTGTTGTTGTGATGGCTCTCACGCGCTGCCGCCAAAATCTTGGGGCTCGCCCGTCTGCAAAGCACCCGCCTCCGAAAGGCATCCCAGCGGGTTGCCAACCCCGTCCGCCCTCCTGTGCGACATACTCAATTCACTCTTGCGGGGGCAGCCCTGCATATGAACCCCCCCTCCCTGTAACAAGAACCGTTCGGCTTTTCATGATGATGGTTTCTTTTGATGGTGGTGTGGGGTTTGTGAGGCGTAGGCCTGGCAGTGTGGCACTCGGCCTGACACCGTGGGCAGCCTGCCAGCAGGCCACGCCAGCGGCCGCATGAGGAGCGGCGACCCGGCCGCCATTCTTGTTCAGTGCATGAACATTCAATAGGCATGCAATTAGCTGCGATTTTAAGGCAAACAAATAGAATCTGGATTGAGGTGTGCCTTGGCCATGGGGCTCGAGTGGCACGCAGCAGGGCAAGGGTGCTGCACCCGGCCACCCTGGGTCACACCGGCCCGGCCCCCGGCGCGGCCACGGCCCCTGCAGCCGACGCCGCCCCCCCGCCGCCGCTGCTGCTGGTGCTGCTGGTGCTGCCCTCGAGCCGCTTCAGCTCTGCCGTGCCCAGGCCGAACACGCGGTGTGTCCCCAGGGGGCCGCCGCCGGCCGCGGCCTGGGTGATGGAGAGGGTGTCGCCGTGGGACACGAGGAGGACGGCACAGCCGGTGTGGCGGCGCTCCAGCTCCTGAGCATGTTTGGGTGGGGTGGAGGGTGAGAGGGTGAGGGCGTGAGGGGGTGAGTGCGCAAGGGGGTGAGGCGGGTAGGTGGGTCGGGGGAAGGTGGGACTAGGGCGGCCAAAGACCAAGCGGCAGGAGGGAAGGGGAGAGGGGGCAGTGTTTTTTTGAATGGCAGCATGGGTGTTGAGCGCCCTGTTGAGGGCACATGTAAGGGTTGCCAAAGGGGGGGGCCCACATTAGGGGCGCGCGACCAAAGTTTGACTGGGATGCAGCACCCAGCTGGGCGGAGCCCGCCCTTTGGAGCCAGCCTGGAAGCCCTCTCCAAGACTATCGGACACGCCCCCAGGCGTGAAAGCAGGCCGAAGGACTGGCGGAGCAATAGACACCATTTGAAATATTCAAAGCCTGCACAACAATCCAGGGCGGCAAGCGGCGCAGCGTGCCAGGGACGAAAAGCAGCAGCGGCCCGCACGCAGCCCCCGCGCGTCCTCTCACTTGCAGCAACCCCAGCACGCGCGCCGCGACGTCCCGCACGCTCTCGCCGTCCCCGCCCGGCCGCGCGCCCGCGTCCGCCTTGTCGGCCGCCCACGCCGGGCAGTAGTTGTCGTGGGTTGTCAGCTCTAAAGCGGCGCCGAAAAAGCGCTCCCGCAGCTCCGGCGCCACCTGCGGCGGGGGCGGGGG